TACTAAAAAAAGAAAAAGATGAAAGCATAACAAAGGACATATAAATATTTTTTAAAGTAGTGATAGTGTGGCTATCTTACCAAAATTCAAATCTTCCTAACAGTGGTTTGATAAAAATATATCATATAATAAGTGAAAGTTTGTACTCTTTGGCCAGTTATAAGATGAATTAGTTCTGGGGATCTAATGTACAGCACGGTGATTATATTTAATCATGTATTGTATACTCAAAAGTTTCTGCAAGTAGATTTTAAGAGTTCTCATCACATACAAAAATTGGTAACTATGTGAGATAGTGGATGTGTTAATCAACTAGGTTGTGGTAGGCATACCACAATGCATATGTATATCAAATGATCATTATATATATAGAATATAGTTTAAATCAGAAAACCTGATCAACTAAAAGGAATGGAAGTCTACAAATAGATTCACAAAATAGCATTGTATGGCTATTAGTATTACAAATTGCCCTTAATAGATTGTGGTAATTTATACTACCCCAAAAGTGTATAAAATTATATTTCTTTGCAGCCCTCATGATATTTGATGTTATAAACCTTTTTAAAATAGAAAACTAATAAATAAAAATGGTACTTCATATTTTTAAAAAATTCTATTCATTGTATTACTGCTGAGGTTGAAAATTTGTAATATATCTATTGGTCACTTTCTTTGGTGAAATGCTTGTTCTAATCATTTTCCTACTTATATATTAGGTTTATTTTTTTCTCTTATTGATATGTATCAACATTTAAAAAATATAAATTTCAAAAATATCTTCCCAATTTGTCACTTACTAGTTTTAATCAGTTTTTATAAGATATTTCAAATACCTGGAAATAAAGAGTAGAATAATGAACATCCACATATCATGTTTTAATTAATTTGCTTGAGGGTTTTTTTCTTGGATAAAGTATTATAGATTCAGTTGAAGCCTGTCTTATATCCTAAAATCTAGTATCTTTCCTGTCTTTGTTTATTTTTACAATAGATACATATCCATCTAAAACCTATCTCTCTCTCTATATAATAATATATGTTTTGGTTTTTGCACTTAAATGTTTTTAACTTTACTTAATGCTATCATAGTCATTCTGCACCAACCTCTTTGTTTGGATTGTTTGTGCTTAATATTTTATATTGTGATCTATCTATGTAAAGCATGTGATATTTGTATATTTTTATTGTTGGATTCCATTGTGTAACTATGTCAGTATTTATTTATTCCCAACAGATAAAACATTTAGGCTGTTGTCAATTTTACACCAGTAAAAGCTACATTGCAATGGGCATTCTTAGACTACATGAGTGTATCTCAAGGGCATATTCCTAGTGGTGGAAATTCCGTGCCAAAGGACGTGTGCATCTTCAACTTTACCAGCTGTGCCCAAATTGCTTTACAAAGTGCTCAGATCAATTTGTATGCCTACTGAAAGTATATCAAAGTTTCTAACCAATATTTGGCATTCTTACATTTTGCATATGTAATAAGTTTGAAATGGTGTGCATTATTTTAATTTGCAGTTCCTCATTTACAGTGGTTCTTTGCCTTTTTTTCTTTCTCTCTTATTTACTTATAGGAAATTTTTCTTTTTTGGTAAATAGTCATACTAATCCGTTCACAAGTTCACAGTTAAATTTGCTGTGTGGATGATAATTTTTAGGATCCCCCAGGAGTCTATCAGTAGAAGATAATAAGAGTGGAGATGGCCAATGGCTTTCAGGGACAGCTTTAATTAAAAAACAAAAATGGAAATTGAGTTGAATCTTGAAGGGGGAAGGTCCTAATCAAGAGGATTAGTTTAGAAAAGAAATTTAACACAGAAGAGAAATTTGTCAAGAAATTTGACACAGAAAAATTAATTTAGGATTGGAAGGCATCAGGGAGAAATGTAACATAACAAAATGCAGGTCATTAAGACCTTACATAATGACGAAAGCTGAACTGCACTTATAACTCAGAGATTCCCAGTGACCAAAGCAAATAAGGAAATTAATGAATTTTAGGATTCCTATTGCTTTTCACAAAGTAGGGTCTGGTATAAATTTTCTTCCACAACTCCTCATACATAAGATACTGAGTGATGCAGTGGGTTCCATCCTCAATAGCACTCCAATATTAGATGCTATTATAAGTATCTAATGACTTTTTGTAGTGTCCTTCCATATAAATGGAGACATAATTTAAAAGCCATATTCATTGAAACTAACCCAAATTAAGGTAAACTAAACATTAGGATTCAATTATATGAAATGACCCCATAATCCTCCTCAATTCTAGGATAAAATCTTGGCTCTTTTACAGACGCTGGTAAATACAATCCTGGCTGTTATTCAAAAAGGAATTTTGGGGTTTATGTGCAAATGGAAAACATGTATTCCAATAAAAGCTATATTAACTGGCAAAACATAAGAACACTTAACTAAATACTTCTTTTATGAATTGAATTCTGTTAGCAAGGCTAAAATCTGCAACCTCCAAAATATGGGTAAATTGACAAATTTCATGTGGAAAGGGACCCTGTTTGATATTTTTTTTTTTTTTTACTGTTGTATCACCCGGTTTTAGCAGTAAGTCTGACACTTAGTAAGTGCTCAATGAATATTTGGAGAAATAAATGGATGGACAAATGAATGAAATAAACCTCCACAAATTTCATTTTCTACAATGCAGCTTTTGCAGAGTTCTGCCACATGAGAGGTTCTATGCTTCAGCAAGGACCGGAAGCACAAATAAATCTTTTCTTTTGCTCATTAGAAGCAGATACGTATGAATTAAAAAGAGGTAGCCTTGACACACTTCTCAGAAAATTAAGAAACCTGATTAGGAGTTGGGTATTATTGTCCCCAGAAGAAATGGCCTCAGTGTTTAAGGATGTTATGAGGCTCAGATGAGAAAATGAAGTTAATATATGAAGAATGTCAAGATGTACACATGTGTACATGTTTGTACAATTCTTTAGTTACCGTCCACATGTCTCCATGGGCTGACCTTTCCAGCTATCTGATGTCTCCATTACACTTCTGAAAATTTGCACTAGTGGGTCACCTCTTCTCCATGCTAAACACTATCTGATTTTAGTTCCTTTTGCCTGGGGCATTGTAATAACCCTTCTCCCTTCTCCTTGTTTTCCGTGTCTCTGGTTCCTCCTCTTGGGGTCGATACTTCATGGCATAGAGTAGTCAGGTCCGTGGATTCTGGGTTGAAATGCTGATTCGACCATTTATAAGCTGTTTGATATTGAACTAGTTACATCACTCTGATTCATTCTCAGTATCATCTATAAAACGAGAATAATACTAATATCTATCATATTTGAATTGTTATGAAGGCTCAACTATGATTACCTATATAATGTGCACAATAACCAGCAAATAGTCAGCAAGCAATAAATTCTAATTATTCTCATCATGATTATTCTACCAAAACATTCTGCCTGAAACCGACATCTGACACTGACCATCCGTACTTAAATCTTTCAGTGATTTCTAGAGGCCTAAATTGGCAAAGTAGAGGATGTAACTTCCGGTACAGTCTGGCTTCAGCTTCCCTTTGCACCCTCTTCACCACCATCCCTACCCCTCTCCTTTTATATTCTAACCAATTATTTCTGGGTTCAGCTCTCCCAACAGACAATAGCCTTCCAAGTCTCCAAGATTTGACAGAACAAAATTTGGCTGTTTTCACCTTCTGGAATACCCCTCCCTTTCTGCTCTGACAAAAAGCTTTCTCCTTCTCTGGACACCATTATCTACCTCTCTCTGGTCTTACTAACAAGCCCCCGTCACTTTGTAAACTACCTAGAGATATACTGAATTTGCTTATATTTGTGTCCGTCGTCCTGACAGAGAGCCTGTGAACTTCTTTAGGTGGGGAACCCTCTTTAAGTCTATTCTAAGTTCCGGAATGCCCAAAACATTAAGTAAAGATTTAATATATACCATTAAACAAATGAACGAACTGCTAGCCCAGGGCCTCCCGCATAACATGTGCTCAATGGCATTTACTGAATTGCATTGACTGAATTTAATATAATTCAAACAACTCTTGCTCCTTCAGAACCCCAATCTATTTTCGAACAGAGATTAGACCCTCCGGGTGTTTCACGGTTCTGTTCTGGGCTACCAATGCGATTTAACATGCCGGCAATTTTAAGAAAGAGGTTTTCCTTACCAGAACCTTACAAAAAAAGTGGGACTTGCGGCAGATGGCACCAGAAAAAGGGTTGCCTGCCCAGAGATGCTGCCTCATCGCTTGTTTCCCTTAAATCCCGTGCCTGGAGAGACACGAGAGGGGGAGGGAAGAAAAGTGGGAGAGCGAGTGAAAAAGTTGGCCCGCCTCTTCTCCTCCCCCTCCCATAGAGAAGGACTACACTCAGGCAGATGTCCTAAGACGCCTCCCAAGGGGACCTGGTTCTTGGCTGGAGTCCTCAAATACGTCCTGAGTTCCCTCTGCCCCTTCCCTTCTTCTGTGGCTCTTCTTCTCCACTTATCAACCCCCTCCCCGCCCCGACCCCCTCATCCCCTATCACACGAACAGAGGCACACACTGGAGACCAGAAAACCGCCCCGCCTCCAGACTCTCAATTCTAGGACCACCGTGGCTGCCAATGAAGGATGCCAGTAGCCAGATCCCTGGGAGTTGAGTAAAAAAAAAAAAAAAAAATCAGGTTGAGAACAGAAAGGAAATGCACATAGCAACCTCCAAAGCACGAAGAAATCTCAGTATGCAAATGCCTACAGGATCCCGAGCAAAGAAAGAGCAGGATATCTCTGACTACCCAGAGGACGTGCAGCACCACAAACAGGAACTTTAAAGGGATTGAAATCTGTTGCCTGTTCCACTAGGAATATTGTTTGCAAGGCACAAGGTGTCTTTTGGTAGTGAGCACCCTCTGCGCATGCGCAGGTCCATTCGGGAATTACTGCCCTGCCGCCGACTAAGTTGCATTCCTTGAATCTTCGCAGAAAAGACAATTCTTTAATCAGAGTTAGTAATGTGGACAGTACAAAATCGAGAGAGTTTGGGGCTTCTCTCTTTCCCTGTGATGATTGCCATGGTCTGTTGTGCACACAGGTGAGCTGCTGATCTTGAACGTCTCTTTTTTTCCTTGGTGTTTTTCTTTTTTACATGCTTGCTGGATCATGTAGCTTGTTATTTGGGGGTAGGTGTGCTTGTCTATATTTATGTCTGCTCGCAGTTTGTGTTCATTCTGAATACGGTCCCTACTTCTTCCCTTCAGCGCCAATGAGCCCAGCAACATGTCATACGTGAAAGAGACAGTGGACAGATTGCTCAAAGGATATGACATTCGCTTGCGGCCGGACTTTGGAGGTAATGCTTCATCTTTTTTCAACCTGTAACCCATATCTAGTTCTCCTTTCCTGTCAAAGATAAATGTCAAAAAAAAGCATGTCATTTCCGCAAGTGTGCGCTACGCCCAACGCCCTGGACACACACACACACACACACACACACACACACACACA